AAACCTCCTTTTGTAAAGCAGTTTGTACAAATGTCAGTTCATGGATAACCTTAACTTTGGAGACCACTGAGCCCATTTACTCCATGTGGAGATGGGGTTTTTTCCCTTTCTCCACTGGATAATCGTTCTATCAATCCTGCTGAGCTGCAGGACAACGCCCCAAGACAGAAAGAAAAGCGGGAATAGCTAGAGCGTCTCCTTCCCTTCCAGAAAGTGAGGCCATGAAAGATGAGGCAGCTGAAGAGGATTGTTCCTGATCATCCCTGTTTGAAAATAACTTAGGTTAAGAAATAACAGTAATTTACCTGGTTACTTGGTTTTGCACATCTGTCATTGATGCTTTCAGTCAAACCCGGCATTAAATTAGGAAATGAAGATAGCTGGAATAGCCAGACATTGAAAATGTTCAGACAACCAAGGAGATACAAGATTCTTACAGGGATTTTTACTTTTCAGCTTATCTAAAAGCAGTTGAATATACTTAAAAAGCAAAAGCAAATCTAACATCACAATAATACTAATAAGGTTCATTTAAGAGCCAGAGTTATAATTCATTTAATGAACACTGATTAGCTCTATTCCTAGGATGAAAGGGAAGAGACGCACATTTAATTTATAGACAGCACTTGCACATCTAAATACAGACGTCAGGTACAGTTGTGTTGAATTCAGATTTCCCAAAACACCAGAGATTCACAAAGCACTTTTTACTGAATTAGCACTTTCTAAGCCGTTTAAGAAAAACCTCCATAGTACATAATGAAGCTTTATAGATGCAGACCAAAGGATTCTGAGCTTACTGCACCATCTCGTGTCAAATGACGGGAAGTGCAAGAAAATGATTTTAAACTCTTTTCATTACACTAAATACTTTTTCCTTTAACAGATTAATAAAACACAATTTCATCACCTCCATAAGTTGTAAAGAACATTTATCATCTTAATATGGCAGCTCTAACAAAACTTCTCCAATATTAGCATTTTCCCAGATGTTAATACAGCCATGTAACGAAAAACTTCCTTTACAACTTCAGTGTTTGACATTCAAAGTTGCTTAAGCTGTTGAAAATTTTATCTTCTCCACACTAATAAGCAGATCAACCTTTAACAGAAGTTTGAAGCTTTCTAAAATTAAACATTTTCCAGTACTGATTTGAGTGTACATGAAATGCTACAGGAGAGTAGAAAAGCAAAGTTAATGCAAAATACACATCAGTTGCAGAAGTAAAAAACACAGAGAAAAGAGAATCTGGTTTTCAGCACAACTGCTCTTACTCATTATTATCTTCTGGAAGGGAGTAATCTGGCTTGTGCATACCAGATTTTAGGTATTTAGAAGAAAAAACAAATCTAACTTTAATTTCAGAAAATTTATTCACATTTCGAAACAGTATTTATCATAATCTGTGTGTCTCAAAGAGATTTTTCAGAATGCCTGAGGATGGGATTTCTTATTATTCAGCATATATAAATAGTGCAAAGTTGTTAAAGAAAATTACTTTTATATCTTGCTTTCCAAAAAAACCCTTCTGAAGTAATCAATAATCATAGAATCAAGGAATCATAGATTATTTGAGTTGGAAGGGATCATATTAAAGATTATCCAGTTCCAACCCCCCTGCGATGGGCAGTGACAACTTATGCTAGAGCAGGTTGCTCAAAGCCCCATCCAGCACGGCCTTGAACACTTCCAGGGATGGGGCAGCCACAACTAGGCAACCTGTGCCAGTGTCTTACCACCTTACAGTATAGAATTTCTTCCTAATATCCAATCTAATAATCTAATAATTATAACTTCCACTAGGGTATTTCTGGACTACATCAAACCACATAATCTGGAATATGAAATTACAGTCAAATTCTTTAAAAGTTTGTGTACTTCAACTTGATATAAAATTCAAGATACTTTGTTTTTATGCAACTTGGTCCATATTAGGCATTTTGAATCACATATGATAAAAAAAGATGGCCTGAATCCTTCCATCCTGTTAGAAAATGTTTCAAGAATCCTTGGAATGTTTTACTTGGACAGGCCTGTGGTATTTCTGCCTGAACTTCAACCATCCTCAAAACTTGTAACTAATGATGCAAGCATTTCCTCAAGCTGATAAGCTGGTTTATGGATGGAAACGGACATGCTCACTGAAAACGTGGGAGCAGGGTGATGGTAGCAAGCAGTCTACATGTACTGACAAGGTATAACACCTATGGCTTCCAGAGATGGCTGTGGGCACTGGTCAGTTGCAGGGGGCTGGAATCAGCCATCCCAAAGGGAAGCTTTATAATTTTATGATCTTTGCAGATTTCTTTCCAAATGAACACAAATGTGTAGAAACAAGCAACTCTTTCTTCTTCCAAAGTCAAGTCACTTAGGAAAAGTGATGTGATTGAGACAGACATGTGACTTGATCTTGGGACAACACTTTGGTTTCAAAGCATCTTAACTAGAATATTTTTATGCTCAAACATTTTTCTTTTATGATATTATTTCACACAAAAATATTGGGCTAATCATCCTGTCATCAGGTCATCGTGCAACCACTAAACACAGGAGGCACAGGAGATAATGTGATCCTTGTTTTGATGTCAAGGAAACTTCCCACTCTGATCTGAACATTCATGGGACTCTCTGGCAGGCACACTCCCAGGACGAGAGACTTTCACTGGGACCGGAGCCCCCTCACAGCGGGCAGCTTCAGCTCCAACGGGTGCTTCTGCTTGAGCCCCTGCACACCCCACACTCACAACCAGGCAGAGCAGGTTTCCTTACTGGTTTGACCCCAGGTTTCCCATAGCAGAGTCTGAGATGTCTTGTTCCATAAAGCAATTCATTCACGTTGCAGTAACACAGAAACAGCCTGAGCTGGTGCCTCTGAGGAGGAATCCTGAACAAAGGAACTCCTGGGCTTTTACTGAATGATATCAAACTATAGGATGGAAAGTCTGTAATTGAAGACATTAACCAATTCTGACTAGATTTTGGAGTACTGAAATGCTATTTCTCAACTATGTGGAAATCATTATGATAAAAAGCTTCTGAACAGGGATTTCAGTCAACTCCCAGAAACTGAAGTGAATCCAAAGCAGGTATTTCAGATAGGAAGGGCACCACAGTGCCATGAGCTCTAGCAGGTTTTCTCCAGCTTCCTGATGTAATTCTCTACTGAAGGTTAAATGATGTGACATAGACTGCAGAGGATAGAAAGCAGGAACTTCAAAGTCATTTGAAGAGACAAATTGCTAAATTTAGATTAAATGGCAGGCATGAAATACTATTAAGGGGCAGACATGAGACACTGTGAATCTGAAGGAAAGGAAAGGGACAGGGTCAAAGACAAAAATCCTCAGACTGAGGGGAGAACTTGCAGAAGACACTGATTTCCAAGAGGAAATACTATATGGCTCCTCTCTTCCCATCACTTCAGAAAACAGCAGCAGACAACTTTCTCCTGTCACAATAGCAAATTAGACGGAGCTGTCTAAAGGCAACTGTAAATGTCTGGGGATACCTTTCCCCTCACTTCCCAACGAGCTTTTTATCATCACTGCTATACCCTCAGCTTGGATTATATAACCTTACTTGAAAGTCTCAAAATGTAAAGAAAAATATCTATTTTTGACTTTCATCACTGTAATCATAGTACTAAAGAAGTCCTAGAGGAACAGGGATGTTTCCCTTCCAGGCAAGAAATTGCTTTGTCTGTGATTGTCCCCTGATGTTACACAGAGGTGCCGTGGAGGTAGTTGCTTCCAAATAACTAAAGTGATAACCTCAGCATAAGATATATCATTGCTTGGTACTGTTGGCTTCTGCAGTAGAAGCTAGGTAAGTAACCAAGAAAGCTGCTAAAACAAGAAAAGACAAACAACATACAAACTAAACACAGGACCAACAAGAGCAGAGGACAAAGATTAATTCACATGACTATTCCATGAAGGCTCAATAAACACCAGCTGTATTCACATCAATCTTTAATAATAAACATTTCTTTTCACTTGTAACCACGCTGTAAACACTCCATTAGGCAAGCAATGCCCATTTCACAGGCTTTGAGCACCAGAAGGAGCAAAGCCCATCTGCCTTGTTTGCTGCTTAGTTAATTGCTGGAATAAAACCATTACCCAGAATGTCACTGCCTCTAGTAAAAAATATTCTTCTTTTTTTCCCCTTCCCAGGCCTAGTAGAAAATAAAATAGGAAATTCATTATGGTCATCGCTGCATTTATGTTCCATTAGAGAAATTCTAGGAATATTTTCAAACTATTGCAGTCTGATGAAAGAGCAAATGTACAGTTTTGGAAAGGGATTTCTTTTTGGTTTTTATACAGGTTCACCAAGAAGATGAACATTTTTGCACAAGAAGATATATCAGAGGACACCAGACACACGTACAGAAAAAGCTTCTATATTTTATAAATAGTTGGCTTAGTTAAAAGAAAGATATCTCTACAGCACTCTGAATTGCATCAAACTCCACAGAAAATAGCAAGTGCTTGAGCAATAAGGATATGAATAGTGGCAAATGAGCTCCTTTTTCAGGCATAACTTGTGACTTTGATACAGCTTTTTGAGAGGTGAAAAAACTAGGATTCCATCAGACGGATACATTTACAATATTTTTTTCAGTTTCTGAACAAGGAAACAAGGATAATCAGGAAGAGAAGTCTGCCATTTCAAAATCACCATGATATTGAGGCCAAGAACCTGCATTATTCCTTTCCCAATGTAGAGAAAAACAGGCTCATTTGCCAGGAATTATTTTTACTCAAGCAAAAACCTCACTCAAAGCAAAAAGCTCACATCTCAGCACAAAGCTTTGTCAACTATACCTGTTACACTACAGCAAGCCTTAAAAACCCATCACAGGACAATCAATCTGCAATGATACGTTTCAAAAAGCAGCTTGTCTGCTTGTACAACAAAATAAATTTCCCAAGCATTTCATGCTACATGTTTTCTCATATTTGAGGACCAAAGCCGCAGGCAGTATCGATCCTACCTTCAAAGGAGAAATGTGCGACTGTAACACATATCCATGGACATTCTCTATTTGAGACAAGTTCTTCTCTGACACGTGAACAAGCTCTGGGCCTCTCACTTCATGGGTTAAACGAGGCAAAGTATGATCATGTGGAGCATCCTCATCTTGATAACGATATTTCTAGACAAAAAAAAATAGAAAGGAAGAACAAATAAGCTTTGAGGAGACAATTCATGTGTGTTAATATAATTACAGAATAACAAAGTATCAGAGAGTAGACAATAATTATTGGATTTCCTAATCTCTTCGGGAGAGAATACCTCAATGTTTTTTAACATTTTATCAAAGAGAGAAATGTGGTATATGTCAGCAATACAACAAAACTTTCACCATCAGGTAGACTTCAGAGATGACACACTGATAATGAAAAAAGGACACATTGATCAGCTGAGCTGTGGTGTCAGACCAGTTTCGCATCTCCATATTAATAACTGCACTGAGTTATTTTCCACTTAGCAGTGTGTATGCTGATGCTGGAGAGCACAGATACACTTCCACAGAGCCATAATCCAGCAGAAGATTCCGCTCCAGTAAAGTTCTCTCTTTACTCTGAGCACAAATGGGGTTTGAGGTGTTACACTCCTCTTCTCCACAGAGACACAACATGAGATAAAGGAGACAAGTGGCTTGTCCGAGATCCTAAACAAAGCTTGTAACAACAAGGAATATAACTCTAAAAATAATTAAATTACCAGATCTGTCCTTCAGCTAGAATCTTCTGTTAAAAGGCACCACCCATTTGGGTGATGGGTCCAGCTGTGTCCTGAGGAGGGGCCATTAGGTCAAAGTCTAAGACCTATTTGGATGGCCATATAAGAAAAATAAGTCTGAAGTCCAGGTACAATCACAAGGACATCACAAAGCAGACCTCTCTGCTGCTCGTCCATTTAACTGTGATCATTCAGCTCTGAAGTGTTACTTCATTTACGCATGCCTCCTAGGGAACCATCCCAGTGTATTCCTTCCTTCATTCATGTATGGAGATGCTTCAGCAGTTGCCAATTATTTTCAGATTACACATGTGACATGATTTATTCTCCTTTTCTGGGATATGCCTGCAGGCCTTCACATACTCACTTCTCAGATAACATAATTAATTAATATATAAAAGGACTGGCACCAGGCAAATATTATTTGGGCAAGAAGCCATCAGTCTAATAGATGGAGCTCCAACCAATGTCACAGTTAAGGCTTGGCACATAGGTCGTTTAAGACACAAGCAATCAATTACTTTTTTAATCTAATGAGTACTCTTTCAAAAAAAGACAAATATTCGGAGACACCCTCTTTAAAGTGAGTCATTTACTAAAACATAATCAGGAGAAATAAGAGCAGAATACCAGAGTCATCTCACTAACCCAGGAACAGGCAAAATGAAAACGACCAGTGACTACTTTCTAAAAGGACAAAACAGGAGTGACAGAAGCCATAAGAAGCTCTGTATCATGGAATCATTGAATCGTTCAGGTTGGAAAGGACCTTTAAGATCATTGAGTCCAAACATTAACCCAGTACTACCAAGTCCACCACTACATCATGTACTCAAGTGCCACATATATACATTTTTAAAATACCTTCAAGGATGGGGACTCAACCACTTCCTTGGGCAGCACATTCCAACGCATGACAGCCCTTTTGGTGAAGGAGTTTTTTGTAATATCTAATCTAAATTTCCCCTGATACAACTTGAGGTTGTTTCCTCTCATCCTATTGCTTGTTACTATGGGAGAAGAGACTATTCAGACTAACCCCCACCTAGCTACAACGTCCTTTCAAGCAGTTGTAGAGAGCAATAAGGTGTCCCCTGAGAGTCCTTTTTCCCAGGCTAAACATACCCAGTTCCCTGCTCTAGACCCTTACGCTGTTCTGTTGCCCTCCCCTGGAGATGCTTCGGCCACTAAATATTTTTCTTGTAATGAGGGACTCAAAGTGAACACAGGATTTGTGATGTGGCCTCACAAGTGCCAAGTACGAGGGGATGATCAATGTCCTGGTCCTGCTGACAACATTTTTGCAGATAAAAAAAAAATTATAAATATATATCTCTCTATATCTATCTGTATCTATTTATATCTATATAGGCTTCCTACTTCTCTCAAGTTCATGACCCTCTGGGTGGGAGTGGGACCACTTGAGGGAGCTGATTAGGTGCAAGTCTATAGGACCTGATAACATGCATCCCAGGGTCCTGAGGGAATAGGCTGATGTGACTCTCCATCATGTTTTAAAATTCATGGCAGTCAGGTGAAGTCCCCAGTGACTGGAAAAAGGGAAAACATTGCTTGCATTTTTAAGAAGGGGAGAGAGGAAGATCTGGGAAACTACAGACCACTGTACCTGGAAAGATCATGGAGAAGAGCCTCCTAGAAGACGTGCTAAGGCAGGTAAAACACAATTAGGTGATCTGAGGCAGCCAGTGCAGCTGTACTAATGGCAAATTGTGCCTGACCAATCTGATGGTCTTCTACGATGGAATGACAGTGTCCTGGTTCCAGCAAAGGCCAGGGTTAATTTTTGCAGTAGCCAGGCTAGGACCTGGAGGTTATTCTATACCACCTCATGTTATTTTCTAGGAATGGGGGAAGGGGCCCCTTTCAGCTCAGGATAGCGTGGCGGCAGTCGGGTATTGTCAGGCTCTGTGTGGTATAGTGGTGAGCATTCTCATGTGAATTGCTCTCCTCTCTTATGTACTTTTTTTATTATTATTGTTGCTGTTACTGTCCATTTTCTTATCTCATTGCTGTTTCCAGTAAATTGGTCTTATCTCAACCTGCGATCTTTACCTTTTGTGCCTCCAATTCTCCTCTCGAGCCCACTGCATGGGAGGGGGAGCAGGATGGGGGAGTGAGTGAGAGGTGTATGGTTTGGAGTGGTTTCAGTGGGAATGCTAAATTGGAGAATACAATTCCTAAACTATGACAGACAGGAACGGTCAGCAAGGGGAGACTGATAGATATCATCTCTCTAGACTTCTGTAAGGCCTTTGATATGGTCCCATATGACATCCTTATCTCCAAATTGGAGAGACATGGATTTGATGGGTGGACCATTCAGTGGATAAGGAATTGGCAGAATGAGAGTTGTGGTTAATGGCTCTATGTTGAGGTGGAGGACAGTGATGAGTGGTGTCTCTCAGGGGTCTGTCTTGGGACTGTTGCTCTTCAATATCTTTATCAGTGACAAAGACAGTGAGATCAAGTACACCCTCGGCAAATTTGCAGGTGACACAAAACTGAGCAGTGCTGTTGACACAATAGAAGGAAGGGATGCCATCCAGAAGGACCTGGACAAACTTGAGAAGTGGGCCCACAAGAACCTCATGAAGTTCAACAAGTCAAAGTGTAAGGTGATGGGTTAAGGTGATCACATTGGTTGATCTAATGGATGTCATCCCTGCCCATGGCAGGGGGTTGGAACTAAGGTACCTTCCAACCCAAACTGTTCTATGAATCTATGATTCATTCTATGACATTGTATGCTTATTTATATATATATAAATATATATAAAATATTTACAATACATATATGCTATTCTGTCCAGATTATCCATGTAGCTTTACATCACGAGAAGCAGTGTGATGTCGCCTTAAAGAGAGAACATCTCTTTGACCAGCAGTTAGCCCTTTCCCCATCACCACACTGCAGCGGTAGTTGTCACATAAATGGGAGCCAAACCCCAGAGGAAATTAATTTACCCGGAGCCCTGTGCTCCTGAAAAGCAGAACACTTGCATGGATCTCTGCTGGTAGACTTCCTTTATAAATTGAATTGATCTATTTATCCAATAACTGCATATTGCTAGGACAAATTCAGTAACATCCATGTTCATGGGCTGTAAACTGGAAAGTTTACAGAACAGATTTCCACTTTGCCATTTGCTTTTGTCTCCCTCCCACCCCAAGCACAGCTTTCTCTTTCTTCACAAGGTATGAGCCTAGAGCATTTCTGGGTCAATCCTGTTATGGGTTTGCCTCATGTTCTTAGCACCAAACTCATTGATTTTCATACATCTTTCCTCCCACAGCATCTCTTCACTGAAATGCTTTCAGCTGTGAACCAAAATGGTTTGACACAGCAAAAAGCCAGTGGTAAAGATGAAAATACCACACCAGAAGTAAGACTCTCCTGTAGAAATGCCTCATTAGTTTCAATTACCCTGCCCTGATGAGGTCCTGCAAATGTCCTTGAAATTACCCCATTCCCTAGAAACCTTTCTCTAAGGGTTAATTCAGATTTTTGGAGGGAAAAGCATGATTGCACGGAAATGCTACTCTTCATTTGACAAAAGAACAGGTGGATGTCTTATGATAATTAAATTACAAATCAGAGCCTGCTGCTGACAGGGTATTGTACACTGCCAACTAGCATCAGATATTTAAAATCCTCTGTAATTACCTATAATGGGGGAGTGGAGTGTGCTACTGTGAATTTTTAATATGAGCATACACTTCTATAAGAGATCATTCTCTCTAAAGTGTGAGATTACTACAGCATCACTGCTCTTCACATCGTACTCTCTAAAGGAGCACTTCTAAGGCTGTGATTGCCAAAGAGATGTCAGCTAGACAGGACTGAAGACATGAATCCAGCAGGACATAACGGTCAAAAGCCTTAAATTTCAACAAAGGTAGTTCTCAAGTTACAATAGCCAGACTACTGCACTGGCATGGAAATACAGATGTTCTTACAACCTACCTTTACAGATTGACAGTGAGTTGAGATAGCTGGGAATTTGTCATTCAATTTTGGGCTGAAGGGAGATGGTTTTTTTTTACAAAAGTCCTCAGTATTTTTATTTTTATTTCTTTTTTGCAGTTGCCATCTGTTTGCTTTGCAGAAAATGCAAATAGAACACTGCATTTTATATCAGTTGAAATTGACCTGTATCCTAAGCTGCTGAATGTGGTCTGACTGGACTTGCCATCTAGAAGCACATGTCCCTGTTCTTCTCTACATGGCTTTTTGGCTGGACCGCACTCCAATACATCACACATTACTTCTGCTTGCAACAGAAGGGCTGCAAAAGGAGGGAGCAAAGAGTGTTTTAGGAGTCACAAGGCTCTACAACGTCCTGTGAAATAAGAGCAATCAGTGAATCCTGGTCTAAAGAATCTTGACCT